AGAAGCTCAGACACTTTAACATCTCAGTCGTAATATGTGTACAGACAGCAAAGAGTTTAAGTAAGGATGTTAAAAGAATACTTACTGACATTATACTTTTCCCCGGATTGTCCGAAGACGATTTCATGGAACTTATGAAAGAGTCCATGGCAGGTAAGTTTGACAGACATGAACTATGGAGAAGTACAAAGTCATACAAGACCCTCATACTTCTTTCAGAATTCATATCTACGCAAACAAAGTTCAAATTGTAAAAAGTCAAGCTTGAAAAATAAATGGTTCATTTACTCTGCTTGTTTGAAGTTGTCAAAATACTCTGTTATTTTTTTCACGATTTTCATAGAGTTTTAGGCTAGACCGATAAAATCCGGTCTAGAGAAATTTCACGATTTTCATACGGAATCTCTTCTCTCGGTTCTCCGAGGGAAGCAAGCATATGAGGAAATTCATGAAATTTCATACGGAATTCAGCAAAAATAATGTTTATGTTAGAATGTTAGATCTAACATGTTTTCTAACATGTTTTCTAACATGGTCTAAAACATACAAAATTCATGAAATTTCATACGGAATTCAATAAAAATAATGTTTATGTTAGAATGTTAGATCTAACATGTTTTCTAACATGTTTTCTAACATAACTATTTACAAGCGTTTTACATGGTATATGTTGCGATGGTTCATGACTCTAAACAATTTTCGTAGCTTCTATTTCTTCTGTCAGTATGTCAAAAGTTTTAACGATACCGAAAGTTTCTTTATACTTCTTCTTGACGTCAGATAGAAGGAAATCGTCAGCAGTTGGATAGTTTTTGTTCAGAAATTCTAACATGTTCATTTTATCTTCTGCTGGTTTTTCTGCTTCTTTTTTAAATCTGCATAGTCGTTTCGCATACGTTCTATCTCTTTGACGGAGTAGTTATATTTCCTCATTGCTGCTTTACATTTTGAACATTGCGGGTTCATTTTTGCGTTATATTCTGAAACCTTACCTGCTAAACAACCAAGGCGTCAATGGTTTTCTTCATCTCGAACATAGCGGGTCTTATTTGTTCGTTCCATACCTTACCCCTACTATCTTTATCTCTTATTTCCCAAACACATTTTGCAACTAATGAAACAAAGTTGTCGTAGGTCTTAAATTCTTCGGATTTGTAAAGGTCAGAGATGTTCTTATATACCATGTCGCAATCTTTGTCCATAACCTTATGGTTGCAATGAAAACCAAGGAATTCATAATTTACCTTTCGTATGAACTTCTTTATTTCTACTGAGTCAGTTGCTTTGACTTCTATTTCGTCAAATTCGGGAATGGTTAGTTTTTGTTGTTGGATTTCAGGCAATTTGGTAAATGGTCAATAATGTCCTGCATTTCATAAAGATACTGTTCATTTGTTTCATCTTTCGCACTACAGTCTAAATTACTTGTTAAAAGTTCTTGCTTTATCTTCTGGATTTTTGTTTCGAAAGTATATGAAGAAGGAATGAAGTTTTTCATCTCTACTAACATAGATGTTGGATTCATAACTAGCGAGTTTGGTGCTGTAGTTGTTTGAATTGTTGTTGTGCCGATTGTTGAAATCATGTCTTTTATACAAAATAAAAAAAATAAATAAAATAAAATAAAACTAATTTTATTTTTTATTTCGGGAAAATTCATGAAAATTCAAGAGTTTTAGACCATGTTAGAAAACGTGTTAGAAAACATGTTAGATCTAACATTCTAACATAAATTATATTTTTGGTGTAAATTTCATGAAAATTCAAGAGTTTTAGACCATGTTAGAAAACGTGTTAGAAAACATGTTAGATCTAACATTCTAACATAAACATTATTTTTGCTGAATTCAGCAACAAAATTCAAATTGTAAAAAGTCAAGCTTGAAAAATGTAAGTGTTTAGTCTTAGTAAGATGGTAGCTTCTTAAAGCAAATACCATTGCTGAGTTTTATGTACGTGAAGAGAAGTACAATGAATTCAATTACGAGTACAATTGCAATGACAACTAAGGCAACTATTTTTGTCTTTTGCCAGCAAGGGTACTTCTTCTCTTCCAATGGTTCGGCAGAACTATACTCACTCATGAGAAATGCCAAAACGGTTTAATAGAAAAAGTGTTATTTTTTCATGTCCGAAGACTCGAAGGTGCAACACTTCCAAAATACCGACGAACTCAGAAGAGCAGCATGGCAGTATGTTCTTGACAACTTCTTTGAGTTCTCCAGGCACACCTTGGAAAATGCTGAAGAACTCCGACACAGAGAATTTGGAGAAATTGCACTCCAATACTACATTGACAAACAAAGGGTAAACAAAGGGTAAACAAAGGGTAAAATAAGACTAAAAACTTAAGGTTTAAAAAAGTGACATTTTTATGAGCTCCGAGTCACCGAGAAAACTTGGTCAGATGTTAGCAGCTTACTTCCCTGAGGAGGATGGAAGCGTTACATACGTAAGGTTCAAAAACAACGAACCTGGAATTGCGTACCAAATTCGCAATTACATGACCATGGAAGAGTACGAAAGGTTCCTACAAGAGAAACCAGCTCTAAACAACTCAGAAAAGAAAGAATAAAAAGTTTAACTCGTAATTGTTTATTTTTTTACTTGTATGGGCAAGCTGCAAGAATGAAGTCGACTATCTCAGTCTTTGTCTTGACCAGTTGGACTGCTCTTGCGAGTACGTCTGTTTTGCGGTCTCCAGCTGGTGTCTGACCTTCGTAATTGCGCATGTTCTTGAGAGCTCCAGTTGTAAATGATTGTAGGATGAAGAGTCTCTCAGACTGCTTGAGGTAGTCTTCACGGTCACGAACCGAATCTGTGGTACGAGTCGAATCGGTCGATTTGAGGGAAGAGACTGAAAGCCTGTCGTCTTCCATAGGGGCTGTGGCATAATCTTTGCGTAAGCGGTTCAGACCTTCTTCGAACTCTTGGTCTCTCTTGGACTGAGATTGGAATTGCTGGGGTGGAGCTTGCTGGAACATCCAAGGGTTGGGGAAGTAAGGCATAGGCTGAGGAGGGTAGTTCGGGAAGCCTTGTAGTGGAAATTGGTAGTAACCTTGAGGTGGAAATTGGTAGTAATTTGGTGGAGGGACTTGCTGGAACTGAGGTGCAGGGGCTGGTGCTTTAGGTTCCTCTGGTTTGGGAATGGACTCGGTTGGTGGGACGTCGGACATTCGTCTGTGGCTTAACCGTCGGACCACAACGATAAAAATCTCTGCTCCTAGCAGTACTGCTACTGACAGTAGCAGTACTTTTACTGACAGTAGCAGTACTTTTTCTGACAGTAGCAGTACTTTTTCTGACAGTAGCAGTACTTTTACTGACAGTAGCAGTACTTTATCGTCGAAAACCCTCTCAAATTTTCCTTTTTACTGCTCCTAGCAGTACTTTTACTGCTCCTAGCAGTACTGCTACTGACAGTAGCAGTACTTTTTCTGACAGTAGCAGTACTTTTTCTGACAGTAGCAGTACTTTTACTGACAGTAGCAGTACTTTTACTGACAGTAGCAGTACTTTTTCTGACAGTAGCAATGGTCGAGGTCGAACCGACCGACGAGGCAATTTACCTAATTGAAATTAACGAGCTTGTTAAAGACTTCCTCAGGCAGAATGTAAAAGGCAAGCTTGTTAACTGTTGGATAACGGGAAGGGCTGCCTTGAATCTCGAGACTTCGACTGGAATTCCAATTCAAATACCAGACGGGACAGCCTACGACGACATAAAGCAAGCAAAGAAAGAAGCTCTTCTCAAGTTCTTTGCCAAGCGTCCTTGGATACTACTTCCAAACAGAGAGAACCCTTTCCCAAGAATGAGCCAAATTCTCAAGGGTCTCCTTCACTTCTCGGGTCAGCCGTTCTACATAACCTGTGAAGGCGACATCCAACCAGTTCAGTAAACATCTCATTTTCACTTCACTTTTTTTATGTTTTTACTCACACTCGTACTCAACAGGTTTGTGTACAACTATTTCAACTGTGAACCTTGTATTGACCGGTCTTCCTGTAAATGCAAGTTTGGTCAATACACAGTTTATGGTGGCAAGAAGGACAGTGGGGAATGTTATTCTGACATCTGTTGTTGCGCTCGAGAGAGATTTGAAATTTCAGAGCCACCTCCCCCAAGAACTCCAACACCAACACTCAAGTTACCAGAGTCTCATGTGAAGAAGAAGCCTTCTGGTAAGTTTCTTATAGCCATATACATGGCACGCTTTGAGTAAAAACATTTTTTTCATTTTTTGAATGAAGCAAGTTAAATTCGTCCCACACCAAACTCAATGGACCGATGAAGAGTTTCAAGCCATGCTTGAAGACGTTGAGAACGACATAGACGGCGAACTTGAAGGAGCTCAAACCACAATTGCAACCAAAATTGCACAAGTCAAGGAACAGATAGCTCCACTTAAAGCTACCAAAGCTACTCTTGACCTCATGGATACTTACCGTTTAGAAGTAAAGAGTGGAATAAGACAATTAAAATTAAAACTTCTAAACTACGAAGCTATACTCCAAAAGTTAGCAGAAATGAGAAGACTTTACCAGAGCTACTTACATGTAAGGGACTTACCTTCAAGCAGTCCGACCAAAGATGAATTTTCTGACATTGTCCCAATTTTGTCCGAAAGTCAGCTCAGATGTTTCGAACTGCTCCCAACATATCCAGAATATGAACGTTTGCCTGAACTCTTCCGCAATCTCAAAAAACGTTTTTTGGTTCTCATGTTCGAAACTTTTATCGGAAGAGACAACAAACGTTCAGAAGAAGAACAAGATATTATTTTAAACTTGTTGTATGACTTAACCGTCATAACAAGCTTTTTGAAGTAAAACCGTCATTCTCAAACCACTTCATTTTTTCGATGTCCGAACAAGCACCGAAGCCGAACACAATAGCAGATGTCCTTTCAAGGTTGCCAGACAAGCGCCCAGTTCAAATTCAAATTATGCATTTGAAAGCTCATCTGACAAACACCGTTAAGACTCTCCAAAGTAGTCTTATGGAAGAGATGAAGGGACTTAAAGGTGAGTTCCTCATGAACCAAGCTTCCAATGAGAAATGCCTGAATGATTTGACGGAAACCTTGCGCATTTACGCGAGAGAGAACCGAGACCTTGCCAGACTCATCTACCGTTTCTTCGAAGAGATAGACGCCATCTGGAAGGTACTCGGAAAGGACAGAACATGCAACACCGTAATTCGTGAACACAGAATTGAAGAAGGAATTGTCGAGGAAGAAGAGAAACACGAAGAAGAGAAACACGAAGAAGAGGAAGAAGAGAAACACGAAGAAGAGGAAGTTTGGGCAACCCTTGTTGCCGATGACACTTACGAAATTTCCCAACCCTACCCATACCAAATCCGCAACAGGGAGACCGGCAAGGTTCTTACCCCAGTCCTCAACAACTTGGGACACTTGAACCTTAACCTTCGGAATCGCGGTTCAATTTCCATGGGCAAGCTTGTCGCAATTCAATGGGTTCCAAATCCAGGCAAGAAGACGAAGGTCAGACACATTGACGGTGACAAGCTCAACAACCGTAAGGAGAACCTCGAGTGGTTCTAAGAGTAAAAAAATTTTATTTTAGGGGGAAACCCCAAGTAAATTTAGGTGTTTATTTGGATAAGTATGTGAAATTAAGGTCAATTTGCAAAATTAGTTCCCGACCTTTGAATTGGACTCTTTCGTCATCCCAGTTGCGTAGGAGGTCGTCCCAGAGGAGTTGGTAGATTTGCCAATCCAAGGACGATTTGTCCTCCCAGGCATTGAGGATGTACTGCTCGTAGAGTCTCATGACCTCTCCCTTGCACCAGACACCCTCTTCCTTGGAACGTAAGGCTTCTTCGAAGTGCTCGAATGCGATTGGCTGCTTGACCATCCGAAATGACACTTTTTGTACGTTTGGTCAATGTTCGTGTCTCGTGCCATAGTCGACGAAAATACAGACAAACAGGTTATATATGAGTTTGAGACCAAGAATGGTGTAACTCGACCTGTCCGATTCAAAGACTCCGAGGGCGACCATGAAATTAAACGGAAATTACCTAGGAAGGAATATAAAATGGACTGGTTGCCACCACCTCCACCTCCACCACCTTTACCTGTTCCTCAAGTAAATAAGCCTTTCCCGTTCCCAAGAATTCCCACATTTTAATTCAAATTCGAATAAAAATTTTTTATTTCATGCAATGTTTTATTTCTGTGCCGTCTTCAAGTATGCCCCAGTACTTACGCTTGGAGAGGACATGAACTTCGGTGAAAATTTTGTCCAATTTGAATTGACCCATCTTCTCACCGACCATACCCATTTCAATGAGTTTGTTGTATCCTTCTTCGTTCGTCATGAGTGCGTCAATGTTCTCATAGTAAACCTTCACTTTGGATTTGACTTCCGAGAAGAATTTGTTGTAGTTGTCAAGGACTGCTTTTGCGAACTGAGGGTAAGACCAATGTTCGACAATAGGTTTTAATGTGGTTACTAAGCCACTTTGACCTTGAGTGAATTCGTACTTCAAAACAAAAGGAGAAAACCTTTCAACAAAGTTGTCGACCTTCTCATAATGTTTACTCTTCATCTCTTGAGGTTTTTTAATGGAATATCCCATGTCGAATTCATAAGCAATTTGAGTGTCATTGCAAGTTTGGGGTTTGAAGCTTTCCTAATATCATACAGTTGTTGTATGACTTTTCCAACTGTATAGTTCCTTCCGGGAACTCACCATCTTCGTTTGGAATTCCAGTCGGAATATATTGGACAAACCTCATGTACGCAGCGTTAAGGTCGACATAGTATATCTTTTCGTTTGAGTCGAACTTGTCGCAACCAATTGGTCCAGTTTGTGGAAATTCAAGTGAGTCTCTTATCTTCTGAGAAACTTCTCCTGTTATCTCATAAACATCGTCGAAGCAACCTGTTTCATATAAAACCTTCTGACCTAACTCAGATGCTCTCCAATACAATTTGACGTCAATTGGATGTCTCAATGGAAGTTTATTTATAGCATCTTGAAGTTCTTGCAACCTCATTGGAAGTTCTTCTGGTTCAGGTTGGTATCCGAACAATCCAACTCCTTGTGGAATTGTGTACTTCTTTTGTACTAGAACTTTGTCTGGAACAACTTTTGGTCTTGCTAACAGTGAAAAGTTTGTTTCGTCTTTTGGTACAAAAGTTTCTGTAAGCTTGTCATCTGGAATTGGTTCCAACAAACCTTTCTCGAAAAGAATGTTTACAGCTCTGACAATGTTGCACTTGCCTTTTCCGAACAATGGGTTTGTAAGACTTTCGTTCAACATGAAGTGGTTGTGGACAATTACAATCTTCAACCATGGTAAGTCTTTGTCAACACAATAGTCGTCATGTGAAGAACCTTTAGCTGTAGGTATGTTGACTCGGATATTGACATTTGCCAACGGTGCAATTTTTGCCAATTGACCTCTGAGCATGTACCTCGTCTTCACACATGACTCAAGATACTTCATCTTCTCATCTGTAACAAGACCAGAGTTCCTGAGACATGTAAGAATACAAGGTTCATTGACAATTGTTTCAATTGAATTGTAAATTCCATACCTTGTCAAGTCAATGTCAGACTTATTTATGAAGGGGAAGTATCCAGCATGTTGTCTGACTGCTTGAGGGTTAGGTTCATGCCATTCGAACTTGACACTTGCAATTCCTTCAATTGCATTCAAAATGTCTGAGTCTGAGTCAACCATTTGTTCTCTCTTTGTAGTCTTGAAAGCGTCAAGAAGTTTTGCGGCTGTTTGTTCATTGCCATGTGCATAGTAAATGTGACCATCCAAATCTGTTATGGTCAATCTGAGATTGTGTCCTTTCTTATTTCCGTCTTGAATTGCAGCAAGTACTCCCATGAAGCCTTCTTTGTTCTTTCCTTCGTCAAAGTTTACTGTAAAGGTTCGACCAGATGTAATTTGACTTCTAACTTCACGATACTTCTCATATGCATATCTTGTTCTTTCCATGGGAGCATGACCATCCTCTGCACTACCTTTTTTCCTTCTCAAAGGATGCAATTGTTCGTCATGTTTCCAGTAGAATCTGGCAAAGCCGTCGTGTCCTTCAACTTGAGGTTCACTAACATCGAAAGGCATGTCCATAAGACGTTCTTCTTCTAACCTCTCTAGTCTGTTTGGATAATTGGCACGTGCTGTTTCCAAATCCATTTCGTAGCGAAGACCAGCCAGTTTGTCATAGACTTTTATGGGTCTTCCCTTCCTATATTTAAAATTCTTCGAAACTCTCCAACCATATCTTTGCAACTCTGCTTTTATTCTAGCAGACTTTCTATCCATTCTATATGGGGGCATTTTTATAAAAATAAAAAAATATTTTTTTTCTTTACTTTACATAACCACCTGCTGCCATAAGTCTTTGACGCCAACCCATACCAGCTAATGAAGGTTGACTTGGTTTAGTTTGGAAACTAAACTTTGGTTTTGGTTTATCTTCAGTTTTTGGTTTTTCTTCTTCTATCGGTTTTTCGTCACTTTTCGGTTCCTCTGACTTTACCCCACCTGCAGGAACAGTTGTGTCGTCAACATCTTCATAAATATCATATGCCATTTGTTTTTGTTTTCCTTTCAACTTTTTGTGTTTGTTGTAAAGTTTAGAATATTTCGACTCTAAGTCAATGAGATGTTCTATAATGAACTGTTGGTCAGTGAAGTAAACTTTTCCATCTGTTGTCTCGAAAGCTCCTTCAGACTTCAATATTTTATTTGTGAGAGTCTGTTTCTTTTTTGAGATACTAGCCGTTCCATTTCTATGAAAAGTGACTTTGTAGTTAGGGTTTGTATTTCCAGACCTGGCACTTTCTATTATTGAATTTTTCTCTTCATCTGTAAGTTCTTTGACAGGTTTTGACAATGGTTCTGAACTTTTTGTTTGTGGTGTCAAATCTACCGTTTCAACTTCTTCGGTCATTTCATCTCAGTAAAAAATTTTAGTTTGGTTTGTTTTCAACTGGTTGTTTAGGTTTTTTAAGTCGGTCTAAAACTTCCTGAGGTATAGGAAGAACTTGACAAACACGTGGTGTAACTGCTGGAAGTCGACAAATCCATCTTGAACCCATTTGTCTCAATGCTGTATTGTTCATTTCATCTCGGTAAAAAATTTTACATTCCCCACGTTTGAGGCGGTTGAGGTTGGTTATTGTTTACCCACTGTTGTGCATGGTTATATCCTCTGTTAAAGAATCTTTCACCTTGGTCCATATAGTGTCCTGCTTGGTTATAGTAGTCATTTGCTTTGTTATAATAGTTTCCTGCTTGTCTTCCTACATTGTCCATCCATCCTTGAACTTTTCCTCTTGTTTCAGGATTTGGAATAAGATTTGCTGCATCTCGTGCTACATCCCAACCTTTCTGTACAGTTTGTATAATAGGTTGTGCTTTCTCTTTCAGTATACCTAATGTACTCAAAATCTTCCTTCCAATTCCAAATGCACCTCTGGCTATTGTTCCCACTGCGGGTAAAAATCTGGATGCAACTCCTGCTAATGCGCCAAATAAACCCATTTCTTATAGGGTAAAAAATGACGAATCCGAACAAGGACCCCTATGTTTCTAAAGCGACAAAAAAAGCACTCATGATAAAAATCTTTAGTTCAACACCAAATGCTTGGTTTATGGATATCTTGGAAAACATTCCGAGGTATAGAGAAGATGGACCACCATACTGGCTAATATTTATCGGTCAAAACACAAGATACTGTGAAGCCATACCATTACAGTCCAAAAATATTTTAGATATCTTAGCAGCTTTGACAATATTCGTTGACAAATACCATCCAACAAAACTGACATCTGACTGTGAAAGTTCTTTCAAATCAGATGATGTAAAAAACTATCTGCGTTCAAAAAATGTAAACCAATATTTCATTGTCGACCAAAACCATTCTGCTCTTGGTGTCATTGACGGTTGTATAAAAATGTTAAGAGACTTAAACCAACCACAAGGTGGTGAAGCAAATGAAATGTCATATGACGACAAATATAGACACTTCTCCATGGCAAAGATGAGACAAGTTTTAAATATTTACAATAGCCGTAAACAAAAAGGTTTGGGAAACCACTCCCCCGAAGAAATGAAAAACAACCCTGACTTAGAGAAAGACTATATATTTAACAATTTAGTCAAAAGAGACAAACAAGAAAGAATGCCGGGCTTCAAACTTCAGAAAGGTGACAAAGTAAAAATAGAAATACCTAAACGCGACCCATATGAAAATACTATTGACTATGACAACAATGGGAACTCGACAGGTACTCGCATTCGTGTTCGTAAAAATAGAAGAAAGTATACAAGAGAATATTATGAAGTTTTAGGCAAACATGGCAAAATGTACAGACTGCAAGCAGAAGATAAAACGACTATTGTCAGACCTCGTTTCAAACTTGTCAAAGTTCAAGGTGGTATACTTTCAAAGACAGTTCCTAACAAATATAAGACAACTCCTGACGAATATGCTAAAGAAGTTGAAAATGACGACTAAGCATTTCTATACCATGCGTAAACTGTCATGTAAGGTGGCATGTAGTCTTTACTTTGTCCCGTTGTTTGCGTATATCCCGAAACGCGATGTGTATGGTTTCCATCTCCCTGAGTGTCACCCCAGAAACAATTTATAGCAAACTGAACGTCGTCTTTAACATCATATCCTTTACCTTTTTTCATTGCTGACCAATCCCAAAATTTATGCTTATGCCAACCTGCTTGAGATGTACTTAAATCTATGTAGTGACTGTGCGCAGGTAAATTTTCACCTGAAATCGTTTTACTTCCTCCTGTTTCCTTTGAAGAGTTTGCACAATACAAAAACCTGTCAACTATTTGAGTCCAAGTTCCAAAACCCAGAACTGTTTCTGGTCTGGTAGAGTTCATTGACGTATAAATAGAGCCTATAGGATATAATGTTTGAAGCATTTCTGTCTTTAACGTTTGAAGCTCTGTTTTGTCAGCTTTTTTATCTAACTCATCGTTAACATATGTTTTGTCAGCTTTTTTATCTAACTCATCGTTAACATATGTTTTGTCAGCTTTGTTGTCATATAAATCTTGAGCAGTGAATTTAACTTTGTTTTCATCCTCCATGACATAGACATTTCTACATCTAGTGTATTTCATCGTCGTTATGTCATCCTCCGATGTTAAACCTTGTGGAAAGTTAGGAGGTTTCCAATACAATGCATCCCCACCAGTTCCATCAGGTTCTTCAACCGTTCCTGCAATATTTTCTATACCAACAGTTGCGAAGAAATCGTGTGTATGAGTCTTTTTAGAATATTCTTTGTCAGCTCTTGTCACTTCACTTGACATTTTATTGTCAACATATGTTTTATCCGCTTTGTCATCTAACATTGCTGGTAGTTCATCTACGTCATAGATGTTATGTGTATGGTGTTTTTGTGGGTATGTTCTATCTGTCCATGCGAGAATATAGTCTCTTGTTGCATCTACATACTCTTTGTCAGCTTTGTTGTCAATATCTGCCTTCAAAAGAAGTTCATCTATAGGTTTCTCGTTTAAAGTTCCTTTTGTTGGATTTATACAGACAGTATGGTTCTTATTGTCTTGAAACAGAAACTCATCTGTCATTGGGTTTAATGTCAGTTTTAAGTTTCCTTCTTTCAATGACTCAGATATCTTAGAATAGTTTGAAAAGTTTGTTGTGTTCTTATTTAGAGCTTGCACAATGAGTTGTCGGTTGTGTTGTATTTCTCTCATGGAAGCAATATCTTTCGACATTTTTATTGTAGATAAAATATGCTTCCAATAGAAAAAGAAAATTCAAGAGTTGCTACAACTAAACCATTAGATGAACTTTTTACTAATGTCGGTCAAAAGTTTGAGACAGAGACCGTAAAGCATGAAGGCTATCGTTTTGACTACCCATTAAGATGGTTAAGAGACCCATCTGTCACAAAAGCTATTGGCTTTCGTAGAATGAAGTTTGTGTCTGTAGAAGATAAAAGTTTTCCATTTATTGTAAGGTTTCATATAGATTATATATCTGAAGGGAAACGAAAAATGTGGGAAGAAATTGAGCTAATACAAGTTGACCTTTCATCTTCTCTACAGACTGCGTTAAAAAATATAGAAGATAAAATAAATTCATGTTATGCAAAATATGCTGATGAATATGCAAATACCGAGAGCACACTTTATGTGAGAATTGTATATGACAAACAAAATTCACAAGTGTCATTTCAAATCTACGAAGACAATCCAAAGAAAGACGAACAAATATATACAGAATTCACTGCAATGTCATGGTATTATTTGCAAAGAATGTTAAATCAGAAAGTCGAACTTCCTTTAGCAAATATTTACAGTCGATATGCAAGAGATGAACCATATTTATTTAAAGATGTTTTCGACCCAGCTGCTATTATTGTTCATGCTTCATTTTCTGGCGCCCAAAACTCTTTCTTATGCTTGGCAAATGACTTTTACGAAAAACCTACAAAGTTATACGAACCACCAAGTGGAAGTATTTCAGACTTTCAAGTATGGTTTACTACAGATGGAAGAAAAAGAATAATTCCATTATACCATGCGTTTTACTTAGAACTTAGTTTCATATACAACTACTATCGAACGGTAAAAATATAATTTTTTAATACGGTTGAGGTGTTGGATTTGGTTGCCAACTAGACTGTGGTGCAGGTTCAGGCTGTTGTATAACAGGAGCTTGCTCTTCTGGTTCAGGGTCTTTAGGTATAATACCAACAAACTGACCTACTCTTTTACCAATATTTTTGACTCCGTTCCAAATTCCTCTTCCGACAGATTTTATTCCATTCCATATACCTCTTCCAACTCTTCTGAAGAAGTTTCCAATACTACTGAAGAAACCCATTTTACTATATGTAAAAATCTAATGTCCGCCTAGTCTCTTACGTTTCCTGTTGAGTTCCATAGCATTCTTTAACTGGAGCTCATACATTCTGTTTCTCCTCTGGTAGAAAACATATTCTGGGTCAACTCCTGTGTTCGCGTCATCTGCATAAAGTTGTTTATATCCCACTTCAGGGTTTGTATAAAACTCTTTCCATCTCATATTTGCATACCATGGTGGCAAACCTAACGCAGCGTCATTTGACATGGCAGTTTGCATTTGTACATCTGTTGGCACTTGACCATAGTTTGCCATTGCAGTTTGTATTCTAACTTCATTTGGAATATTCTCTGGGTTTGGTTGTCCAGGTTGCTGTGCATTCGCTAAGTTCTGTGCGTCCATTTAATATTAGATAAAAATATCTCTTACGAGTACATATGCTGAACATTTGCAGGCATTGGTTCATCTTCATATTCTCTGTACTTTTCTGCCACGTCAAATAAATAAATGACACAATGGAAAAAACCTAAAACAAGTAGTCCTATTTCAAACCACATTTACTTACTAATAAAATTTCTTTGTTATGACACTTTCTCCAGTTTATAGGACCTCTCTCATATTCTATCTTGTCATATATAAACTCATAGTCATGTATGTCCTCTAACCATCTCATAACGGTTTCCAAACCACTTTTATCGGATGTAAAGTAAAAGCATGGATGGTTATGTAAAACGTCTAAAGTTTCTAAAGAGTCTCTCAAAGTCCAGTCTACTTGGTATTGAAAATCCCATGTGTTATAGAACGGCGGGTCCACTATAAAGAAAACATTTTCCTTGTCTTTATATTTTTCATACAAATCTGTCCAATGACATCTCACAAACTCTATACCCTCAATATATTTTTCTATGTCCTCTTTGAAAACATTTGTATAGTTAAGATATAAAACTTTTGACATAAGTGTTTCAATGTCATGAACTCTTATAGCACCACTATATAATAGTCTAGCAGATATACTATCCCAGTCTATATATTCTGCTTTTTTCAAAACCTCTCTCACAATATTTTTCTTATCTAATGGTATACGTTCCATCTTACCTATAGGTATCTTTTCTTTTAACTCTTTCAATATATTGTTTGTGTCTGGTATATGTTTGAGACGGTCCATATAGTTGTCGAAGTCATTGCATATAATCTTTGAGTCAGGAAATATTGTATGGCACAAATGGGATATATAGAAACTTCCACCGAACAAATCTACAAATGTTAGACCATTCGGTAGTTTCTTAAGTTCTCTCAATATAATATCTTTACATTTACTCTTATTTCCAAAGAACGGTAACGGTGGTTTTGTAAAATTCATTTATATATATATAAAAATGTTTTTTCCCTGAAAAGTGACAGAAAAGTGACAAAACATGAAAACATATATAATTTGTGAAAAGCGACACATTATATAATGTTTTCGACCCAGAAGAAGGCTTCTTCCCAGAAGCAATGGAGGAAGAAGAAGAGTCCTCTGAATTCACACCAGAAGACTAACAATTTTCCGAATAAAAACTTCATTTATACTAAACATCTTCGGGGCTAGAGGGCACGAAGTGCCTGGAAGCCCCACTACCTTTTTTTTTTTTTTTTTTTTTTTTTATATTCATTCAGCTTGTCTTGATATGTCATATTTTCGCAATTTTTTGTGAGAATTCAAAATAAATATGTATAGCGAGGTTAATGAAATTAAGGCTGTGATTACAACCCATTCATTATGTGCTGCTTCTTCTAAACTATATATTATACTGCTGATTATTCCCCAAGTAGCATTTGATTTTAATTTTTATGCGAATTTCAAAATTTGATGTTTTAACATCAGTAATTGAACACCTTGAATTCTAAAAATCATATTGTAATTCAAATTTTATTAATTGATCTTTCAATTGCGCGTTTAGAAAAAGGATGATATAATATTTTAAAAATATTATGTATGTATAATATGAATTTGAATAAAACTGTTCTTAGTATTAATGACCTTTGGTTCGCATTGTAAAATACGAAAAAAAATAAGTTATTTTTATTTGTTTACATATTGTGCCAATTTTCATTATCATACATGCTGTCTAAGCACTCATAGTAATTAAAGTAGTTGGATATGATGTTGACATATAATTGTAATTTATAAATTTATTTGATATGCAGCCTTAGTTAAAATTTTAATAAAATACAACTGAAACAAGCTACAAAATAACCAATGATATGCATATTTTAGCACGTCTAAAAAAAGTCAAATGTGAATTGATATATTCGATTTCTTTTGCAAAAATTTTAGTAAAATATTAATCTTTGATATATTTTCTGGATGTGTCAAAAAATTCTGATAACTCCTTTTGAACGATATCCTAGTTGAGTTAGAAGGGAAGTGAAAAATTGAATGCATCATCTCACCTCAGAGACCCTAGTCAAATATTTGAATCCAGTCAGGTGATGTGATATCGATCCAACCAAAAAATCTAGTGTATGTCAAATCTAGGTCCTCATAGGGAAGGATTTCGTGGATTACCAAATGCAGATAATGTGTATGCATATACAACAACAGGCGATCAAAGCAAACTTTTCGAACCATCTGTAATTTCATTTAATAAAGTTTCTGGCAATAATCCAACAGTTGTCATCAATCCTGATTCAAAGTTCCAAACGATCGATGGATTTGGAGCTGCTATTACAGGTTCCACAGCATATAACTTAAAACAAATGACTCAAGAAGCAAGAGACAAGTTCCTTAAAGATACATTCGATCCAGACACAGGTATGGGCTATTCTTTCATTCGTATTTCTATCGGTTGCTCAGACTTTTCTCTCAAAGATTTCACAGAATGTGATAAAGAAGGAATTGACAATTTCGCTCTTGATTCCGAAGATACAGACATTATCATCCCAATTATACAGCAAATTCTCAAGATTAACCCTTCTGTTAAAATTATTGCAACTCCTTGGACTCCTCCTATTTGGATGAAGGTTTCAGACCTGTCCACCCTTAGAAGACATAATTCCTTCATTTCTGGTTACCTTGATCCAAGACTTTACCAAGAATATGCTACTTATTTTGTCAAATACGTCCAAGCAATGGCCAAATACAATTTTCACATCTACGCCATCACATTACAAAATGAGCCACTTAATAAAGGCAACTCCGCTTCTTGTTTCATGGGCTACGAGCAACAAAGAGATTTTATTAAGACAGCTCTTGGTCCACAGTTCGCTGCAAACAACATTTCGACAAAGATCATTATTTACGACCATAATTATAACTACGATAACATTGTTACTCAAGAACATTATCCAGTTCACATTTACGATGACGCCGAGGCTAATAAATACATTGATGGTGCTGCTTATCATGCTTATGGTGGTTCCAACACAGAAATGGACTATGTTACTAGCAAATATCCTAATAAGAATTTATATTTCACAGAAATAGCAATTGGCGAATGGAATTACAATTTCCAGGGCGACTTGATGTGGAATACACGTGAAATCGGTATTGGAACCCTTAATAAAGGCAGCAAATGCGCAATCATGTGGAATTTGCTTCTTGATACAAACCATGGACCATATCGTCCAAATGGATGCTCCAATTCCTATGGAGCAGTTGATGTTAAAGTTCCTGGTTACTCAGAGCTCATTTACAGGTCTCATTACTATGATATGGCACATCTTTCCAAAGTTATTAAGCCAGACTCCATCAGACTTGGAACAACAGTCTCAGGAAGCTCAAATGTCTATGCTACATCAGCTATTAACACAAACGGATTCATTGGCGCTGTTTTACTTAATGATCAGGACCAAGACGTCACTGTTTCAGTCCACTGTGGCTCCCATGCATTTGATGTCCCGATGTCAAAGAGATCTGTTGTTTCCGTCATTTGGAAACAATAAATGAAAAAAAATTAATTTTAAATTTTAATAAATAGTTTCAAATATATATTGAATTTCCTCATATTTCTTCTGAACATAATTATCTAACACAATATATTATGATTTGAAACATTATACACAATCAGAATTTTGATTTTCTCTTTTTTTAATCTATAACCTTGTACAATGAAAAAAAAAAAAAAAAAAATGGTAGTGGGGCTTCCAGGGGCTGCGCCCCTTCTAGCCCTGATGATGTTTAGTATAAATGAAGTTTTTATTCGGAAAATTGTTAGTCTTCTGGTGTGAATTCGGAGGACTCTTCTTCTTCCTCCTCCTCTTCTTCCTCTTCTTCGTCATCGTCGGCGGAGTGGAAGAGGACGTAGTTCATCCAAATTCTGTATGGACGTCCTGATTTGGATTTAAATGAGATGGACATATTTTGTGTGAGTGTTATTTCAGTTTCGATAAAGAGTTGGTGTGCTGGTTTGAATATATGTTCGACGTAGGAGAATTTGTGCAACTCATCTTCTCCCAATTCTGTATTGATACAGACTTCGATGAAGTCACCACTGAGAATGTCTTCACCTGTGGGCATATCCACAACAATTAAATGAACGACACAATAGTTGTGAAATTCATTAGTAGGAAATACTGTTGCAGGCGTATTATATGAGGGGAAAAATGTTTTTTCTTCCCCAAATTCATCTGCTACTTCATCTTCATCGTATCCGTTGTTAAAAGCTTTAAATTCATGTACAATTTGAGCAAATTGTTGACGGAGATTTGGTGGCATACGTAAGCAAGCTTGTAACAATGTCCTACCTTCCACACACTCAGCAAATATGGGAAGGTAGGAACATATAATGTCCGTCAATTGGTCCTGGTTGGGGACCAATTGACAGAGTTTTGTGTATGCCGTTATTGTTTCTTTAACGGTATTTGTGTAGATACGGTTATATGGAGTATTTCCCTGGTTGTTAAGGGAAAAATACTCATCCGATTGTAATTTCAATCTTGACCTCAACTCTTTGTTCGGTATTCTTTGGTCTATTCTTAGAGCTGTATTTGTTCGTGCGGGCTGTGATTTTAAAACATTCGAGTCAAGTTTTAATTGCTTCGAATTGGATGTCGATTTGAATTGGGAGTCTTTTGAGTTCTCCTGAGCTTGGTTCTGTATTAAAGACTGAATAGCAGTGTCAGCTTCTTGTTTTTCGAGATAGTATTCTATTGAATTGGGCTTCACTGTTCGAGACGCGTACATTATGAAAAATGAAATGTTTTTTTTTCGGACTACTCATAGAAAAGTTTAAAATAAACCGTTTTCGTCAACGGAGACCCCCTCTATTTTTTTATTTTATTTAATAGTTACCGTTGGAAAACCGTTCCATCTCAAATATTGAATGAACTATAAACGTTTTTTGTTTTCTATATATACTTTTTTGTCCAACGGTAAAACTTTTTACACAACGGTTTTTGAGAGTCGTCGCCGTTGACTTTTTTTGTAGAGCACTCAAAATAGTATAACTTTGTCCGGACAAGTAAGGGTCTATCGTCGCTACAGGAAAAGTTACAGGCGTTCCAAGGAAGTATGCTTTGAGAAGCCTTTTTCCCTTATAGAATGACATAGGACGGTTATTTTACAAAACTGACAACACTTTGACCGAGTAGTTTTTTGTGCTGAACAAAAAGTGTCATATAAACATATGTCAAAAACCGTTTTTTACTTCACTTAAAATGCCACGTAAGCTACGTAAGAATATACGTAAGAGGAAGAGAGCATTGAAACATCCAATAGTAAAACTGACACCACAACAACAGTTGCAACAACAAATGATGAATGACCCCACTATGTTGCAACAAATGTCAAGCAACCCTATGCTTTTAAACCGAGTTATTGGTGCACAGAGTGGAGGTTTAAGAGCGGCACTTTTAGCGAAAATGGCAGGCTATGGTGGAGCTGCAGACGGAACAGCTTATAACCCTCAAAGTCAAATGAATTTGAGTTCACTCAAAAATCAAATAACAGATGTCAAAAAGTCAAACATAGACATACAGAAACAAATAAGTGAAAACGAAAAGAAACTAGAATATGACAGACACACAAAGAAACTCAATGAGTTAAACGTAGAGAAAAAGAAGAAAGAAGAACAACTGAAAGAACTAAGTACAGAGGAATATGCGAAAAAAGTGTCAGAAAAAGCAGCAGAAGTAGCAAAAATGGAACAAGATGTCATAAATTTGAAAAACCATACTACTCAATATAAAATACTGAAAGATGAAGAGATAAAACAAAAAGCCCTGAAGACATATATGGATAGCGATGAGTATAAAAAAGAAGTTGAAGCAAATGTAAAGGCAGAAAAACTTTTACAGTTGCAAAACCAAACCGTACAGTATGAAAACTTAGCACAAGAAAGTAAAAATAACGACGCGGCTATGCAAAAGGCAATGAAAAGCGCAGAATATATAAAAGCTAACAATGACTGGTTAGATGCCCAAGCCAACGCTAAAGCAGCCCAACTCATAGGGTCAATAAGGACAAAAATACAAGCGGATGAAGATAGTTCAAATGAAGCTTTAACAAATGCTGACTTTAAGAACGCTTTCGAAGCTCTTCATAGTAAGGTGAAACAAGTGAACGACTTCTCATCTGGAAAGAAACTGAAGTCTGAAGGTTTCGACAAAGAGTTAAAAGAAGTAGCACAAAATATGACGAAAATAACAGATGCAGCAACGAGACAGGCAGTTCAAAGTGCCTATGACGCCGTTAGAGCAACTGTTGTGAAAAGTCAAGAAAAAGAGTTACAACAGACCAAAACAGACCTAGTAAATGCTTTCTTAAAAACGAAAAGTCAGGTAGGACATTACGCTGCAGATGGAACATATGTGCCAGCTGGTGGAACTTATATACCACCAAACCCTCCAAGAGAAGCACCTGCACCAGGACTACCTAGAACATTTACATCGTCACATGGACACAGACACAGGCATGCACAACAACCAGCACAACAACCACCTCCACAACCAGCACAACAACCAACACAACAACCAGCACAGCAACCAACAGTTCAAAACCCTGCACAACAACAACCACAAACAGAGCAAGGACATAAAAGAAGTAGAGAACAAGGAAACCAAGAATTCTTAAAAATGCTTAAAGAAGAGTGTGGTTTCCCAGATACTGTTGACTTTAGTGACAGATATAAAGAAGCTATTAGAAAGTTCAAGGATGGAAATACTGACCCGAACCTATTTAGCTTTATGGCTCAGCACCAAAACGGATATAATCTCAAACCTGGAAAATACAAGCTCGCTAAGGGATATGATTTAATAGCATATCATCCAAATGACATGGATGAATTTACTCCGAGATATTTGATGTCAGAGCTAAATGACAATTCAACTTTCGTCATGAAACGCGTAAAAAATAGAGACGGAACGAAAGAACAAAAGCTTATGAATGCGGATGACGTAGATAGGGAAATTGTTGAAAACGGTCTCGGAATATATGAAATGCCAGCAGATGAGGTACAAGAAACTCCACAGGAAGAAGTTCAGATACAACCAGACATGGAAGAAATAGTTCAGCAACAACAGCTAGAAGAGCCTGAAGGAAACGAACAAGTCCTTCCTTTGGAAACTAACTTCACAGAACTAGATGAAGATTTGGAACAGCCGAAAAATCTTGACCCTCAACAAGAGTATGCGGAGAATATGGAATATTTCCAAGAGTCTAAAAAAAATTCGGCTGACATAGTAGAAGAATATCGAAAAATGTTTGCCGACATACAAAAGACTCCAACATCAGATGAAAATATCCAGCATAGAATGGAAGAACTGAAAAAAAATGTACACAAATACAACAACCCTTTTTACTTACGAGCATTTAACGTTCAATCTTCGGATGAACTCGGTGAAAATAAAAGGTTAAATTTCAAGAAAACATATAGAAATGAAACATTGTTTAAAGTTCATTCAGAACCTAACCAAGATGGAAACAAACCTACTTTTGTTTCTGCAGACGATGGAACTACAATGAGATGGGGTCATAAAGCTAATCCGGATAGGTGGTTCATAAACTTACAACCACAATTCCAAGAAGTTGTAGACGCAATGGAAGTCAATGGTGAACCAGATATAGCTGGTATTTTCAGCGCGGCTTTAATGCCATTGAAAGATATGAAAGATGCAGATATTTTGGACCAGTATGAAATGAACATGGCTGATGGAAATATAACACCTGACGTTCTAGAACATTTATCTCAAAGAACTACACAGAACCATAAAGATGGTATATTTGGTGAAGAGTTTAGAAAGAAAGTTAGGGAGAGAGAAGGAAGAGAACCTATTGTACATGACCTTGCAAACGAAAGTTTACAAAATGTCATAAAAACTTACTTTGCAGACGATGAATCGAGAAGGGATGAATATTTAAGAAAACTCAAATGGACAGTACCAAATGAAATGTTAGTATTGAAAAACATGTTCCTTGACAAAATAAAACCAACTACAGAAATAAACGACGCAAGACTGAAAGATTGGGTAAAAGCTTTCCCATTCACAAAAGATATAGTTGGTAACATGGAAAGAAAACCAGAATGGCTACAAAAACATATATTTGGAAACGAGCTTATTCCATATGGACAGGCACTGTTTGAAGCGCTTGAACCGGAAACTCAGGAAAGAGTCATGCAAACAATACGCGAAGACTCAAATACAGACTATGACAAACTCTTTCTAGGATATAGGTTACCTGAGATGGGCGACCAGAGCCAAAAGGCAAAAAGGACATGGGAAATTTGCAACATACTAGATGAACATAATGCAAAGATGCAACAACTTCAAGCAGAGGGCAATGAAGGAAAAAGAAGAGTTAAAAACTCAGTCAGGAAGAAAGTAAAGCTTGGTCGGAGTGGGTTCTATTATGACATATAAATCCAACTATTCTATATTTTTACTCATATGAAATGTACGCCGCTCAGAATATAACGCCAACAGTTTTGGATGCCATGAATGGAAATGTTTCCGAATGGTATAACGAATGCGACAATGCCATTAGAAGGTCAGAAATAGTTCCTGGAACTTACGAATATACAACTGCTGTTTCTTATGGAAACGTAGGTGAGTTTGGAGAAGGTTCTTCAACAACAGTAGATATTGCTTGCGACAGGTTTCATATAATTTCTATTGACAACTCTTTCTTATACGTGGAACAAGACATTGAAATAAAACCTTCTGCCAAGTTGTCTGACAAGAAAGGTTGCAATGGAATTTTCTATGTCGGATACCAATATGCTCCAGAAGTTTTCATGGGATATAAGATATATTCTAACTCTGACTTAGTTCAAACAGTAACATGGGCAAACTATGAATGGTTCGCTTTGAGAAACTCAGTACAACCACAAGCTAGAGAACAAACAGACCAGTATGCCACCATTGAGAAAATAAGAAGACTTGACCCTAACGTTCCAGGAGTTTATGTTGACCTTTCTGGACAAACTGCAGCAGCAGTAACCAAAGTAAAACTGAAACTTAGAGTTCCTTTGTCATCTTTCCTCATCTTCAGGTTTTTAAGATACTTGCCAAACTGGGCAGGAAAAATTTCTATCGAACTTACTCCAAGCAAAAATAACTTAGTCATTGCACCAACACAAGACCCATTCACTCTTACAGAAGTAGTGGGAACAAATAAAATGTCATTCGCCGACTTTTGCAAAAACAAAGTTGACTTAGACTTTGGTTTCTCAAACCTCAACACTGAAGTAAACTATTATTTCAATGCTGCTGGAGATGCTTGGGACCCAGTTAAGTTCACATGCGAAAAGTTTGAATGCAAGAGAATAGAAAGCAGACTTGCAGTCTATATGTTGGACCCAGATATTTCAAATGCTTTAGCTGCCAAATATATTGCAGTTCCACTTATGTTCCCTATACACCAAATATCTGTCAAAGACTTTGCAGGTGAAGTTGGAAACCAAAGTGCTGACCCAGGTGCAAGAACAGATATTGCTTTAACAACTGCAATGAAACATGCAGATACTATGTTTGTACTGTTCAGACGAACTATAAATGACTATTCTTGCTTCTACAACCCTGGTATTAAATACCATATAAACATAGATGGCAAATATTATCCAAGAGAAGAATATTCTACAGTTGAGGATATGAGGTCATACAACTTGACATTAGATGCTATGAACTTTAACAACAACTTCACAACAACCATTAACCCTGAAATGCAAAGTTCTATTATGCCATATGTGAAAGTATGGACTCATACAGGAGGTCAAAAAACTCAATATACAAATGGAGACCGTTCAAACTTTTGGCTTGGCATTCCATTTGCTGACTCAGAAGACTTTATGGGTGGTATTTCAACTGTTGGTACAGTTCAAATACAATATACTGGTGACAGAGACGGTCCAGATGAATTGAGAGCAAAGAAGTTTACAAAACCAATAGCACTTTTCACGGAAGATGCTCTTTTGAAGATTCGTTCGATGAAACCTGCTGGGGCTCCTCAGATTGGCATAACGACAGCTTCCATCGAGCAGATTTTGGCAGCAGGTCAGTAAGTTGTTCTTGAACTGACTTCTCTCCGTCAAATATTGACAGTACGCCAGTTTTGACATAATATTGTAAGATAAACTTTCCTTTAGAAATATCGGTCAGTTTTGTTGTTATATTTTTGTCTGCTTCAAGAACTTTCACCATTTCAGTTATACCAACTTTCTTTGCTTTATGAAAATATTTTGGTTCAGCAAATATTGCTATTCTATAACATTTTCCATTGTTTGTATAAAGAACTATTCTGTCAATGAACTTGTATTGTTTGTGTGTGTAAACTTTGTTCTGCTTCAATTCGAAGAGATACTCAAATACGTCCATCTTTTTATTCTAAGTAAAATGTCATTTCCGAAAAATAGAAGCGTAAGTGTTTCAAAAGGTTTAATGGCGATGGCAGATGTGAAGTTAAATTCACCAACTCAAACAAACAGTCAAAGTGTTGTTGTCAATGTCAAAGAAAGAGATGTTGAAGTGGGGAAACCATACGAAGACGAAGATGGTATAACAATAGTTCCTGTAAAAGAACAACCAACATACCCTGAAGTTAGCAGAGACTTAAGTTCTGTTGCAGATATTCGAAACGACTACCAACAACTTAAAGACAAACTTAAAACTCAGGAGAAGATTTGTCAAGCTTTGGGTATAATGTTAAACTTGGTCGAACACAACCCTGTAAAAGTGAACTCATATGTCATCGCACCTCATGAAGTTTTGAAAGAACTATTGAAACTTTTGACAGAGGCAGACGATATAAACATCAAAGAAATAGAACCCGACATTGCTTGCTGTGGTGTTTCATACAATGTCATTGACAAGATATACGTTATGAAAGGAGGTGAAACGTTGAACTTAAAATATAGTTTCCCAGACGTCATAAAAATATTTGACGACCACAACATTTCATTAAAATTTACTTGCTAAGTAAATGGCAGAAGACATAGTGGTTTATACTATTACGACTAAAAACCCTGAGTCATATAATTCTATAACAACAAACTTACAAAGTCCTCAAGGACGATATTGTAAACTAACCTTAAACACAATGACGACTAAAGCCTGTTTTGCTCTTTTGACACCAGAAGACTTTATTGTTGTGAATGGTAAAAAATACTCCTTTGAAGATACTTACTCAGATATACCACCAACAGGTTTTGTTGACTTATTTAATACTTTACGTACGAGTGTAACATGTGCTGCAACTAGAGCAGGTTTCATTATGTTTGGATGTCCGACTGAGTTTACTATAAACGATATGAGCTATAATACAAAACTTATTTCTGGTTTTTACTACCAACAGTTTCCTATAACAGGAAAAGGTGTCATACAAGGAATGTCTATTCCATTGACATTAAGCACACCAATCTTATATATTGTTTCAAACTTAGGTTCAAAGTGTTATTCGAATGTCGACAGAAACTATTATGACCAAAAGATACTTATGCGTATAAACAATACTTTCTCTGCTGGTTTGCCTATTGTTCATTCGAATGCAGAATTTTCAACCTTAGTGAACTCAAACACTTTGGCAAGTATAACGTTGACATTAGTTGACGCAAACTTTGTTCCTGTAAAACTTTTATGTCCTATGTATTTGTCAATGACGGCAGAAAGTTTCGAATTGGAAGATGCAACTGGTGAAAGTATTGTATTACAAGAACAACTTCAACAACAAATAGCTCAAGAACAACAAATGGAACAACAAAGTCAAGAATAAAAATAATATTTTTTTTATTTTTATAAAAATGTACAGAATAGATGTTTCAGATTTTTATGACTTCCAAGCCTTCAGAAATATGTGTCCATTTAGAGACTATAACAAAGCAGTCGAGAATTTGAAACGTTTAGTCATTTATGTCGACTCTGCCCCAGAATGTTATGTCATGAAAGAATGGGATGTTGTCTTTAACAAACCTAAAGCGACAATAGTTTCAGAACAAGAATGTAGACAGAAACTTAAGAAAATAAAAGTTGTACAAGTTGGAATGAAGATGTTAGATGCTTGGGATATCTTATTGTCAAAGTTAGAAGATTTTTCAGTTCGAGGTATAAAGTTCTATACACCTTCTCCAAACTTCTATTCTATCTTCACTGGATATAAATACGAACAAGTAGAATGGAAAGAAAATATTATAGAAGCTTGGTTAGACCATGTCAAAGAAATTATATGCAATGGAAACGAAAAGGTTTATGAGTATATCTTATGTTGGTTTGCAAACATCTTACAACATCCAAGTGCTAAAAATGAAACTGCTCTCATTATAATTGGAAAACAAGGAACAGGTAAGAATACTTTCTTTACAGATATTTTGTGCAAACTATTAGAAGGTTATTCGAACCCTAATATGACAAACTTAGAAAACATCTGTGGCAAGTTTAACTCCTCAATTGAGAATATGAAACTTATAGTTTGCAATGAACTTCAAAGTATAGATACAACAAAAGTTTTAAACTCAGATGCTTTGAAGAGTCTTATAACAGATAAAGTTGGAGTTGTTGAAAGAAAGTATAAAGACTCAAGAGTTTGTGAGAATGTTGCAAACTTCATTATGGTTTCAAACAATACTGTTCCGATGAAGTTAGAAAGTTCTGACAGAAGATATGTAGTTGTCAGAACGTCAGATTCTCATATGCAAGATACAGAATATTTTGACGACTTAGCAGAAACTTTGACATCTGACTTTTACAACCACTTGTTCTCATATTTCATGACATTAGATATTTCTAAGTTCAATCCAAGACAAATTCCACATACCGAAGAAAGACAAACATTGTTAGAAGCAAACAAGAGTGTATATGAACTGTTTATAGATGAGACTAACTTTGAGTGTTTAGATGAAAGGTCATTGTACGATTCGTATAAACAATATTGTCAAGAATATGGTTATATGGCAGCGTCTAAACGAACATTCTTGGCAAATGTCAAAAGTCTTTTAGATGTTCAGAACGGCGTATATACAAAGAAAAATTTTTATGAGTAAATTTTAAAAAAAATATTTTTTTATCCGATAGAAAAGATGACGAAATATATTTCAGTCAACAAATATATGTCAGGACTTAAAGAAGAACTAGACCCATTCGCTTATTTGAATGTTTACTTCTACCATTTTGAAAAGTCTTCATTCAGCAAAGTTTGGAACATCGAACCAGTTAAGTTTGCTATTGTGACTAAAAATGGTGCGAAATTTGAAGACTTAGACATAGAAGGTTTGTTAGCAGTCAAAGAAAGTTTTGACAGAAGGTTCTCAAACCTTAAAGAAGGCAAAGCATACAAACTTGTTATACCTTATGAACCAAAGAAAGCAGACGACTATGAATATTATGAGTCTAAGATAGTTGAAGTTCAAGGTAAATTGGGTAAAAAGATTTTAGAGTCTAAGCCAGTGTTTACTCCTAAAGAGGAAGAGAACATTGACATTGACCCAGAAATGTTCTAAAAATAAAATTTTATTTTTACATGTCAAATTTCTTTTTCTCTGGAACTGGTTCAGGTTCTTTTTTCTCTTCTTCTACTTTCTTTTCTTTCTTCTCTTCTACTTTTTTCTCTTTCTTTTCTTTCTTCTTCTTCTTCTTCTCTGGTGGAGTTATGTCAAACTTCTCAGAACCATATTTTTGTAAAAGGTCTTTGTCCTTTAATAGCTCTTCTATTCTGTTTTCTATTTCATCTTCAAGAACAGCGCATGTGTCTTCTTTGCATTCTAAGAACTTTTGTTGGACTTCATCTTTCCAATCGGTGTCATCTCTGTCAACAAGTCTGTCATTGACAAATTTTAAGACTGCTCTGCTTAATGTTTTATGGTTCTTGTCATATTCCCAGAAACAGAACTTTAGAACAAATTCACCTTTCTTGTTTACACTATGTAAGATTTTATGGTCGACAGATGTTTTGCTGTCAAAAAGCTTGTCTCGAATATAGATAGCGAAATCGCTAGACATTTTCTAAAAGATAAAAATTTTAATTTTTCTAAAAATATGTTAGAAAAAAAGTTTGCTGACATTGACAAGAAATTTGAGAATGTTTTAAACAAGAACAAGAGGAAGTTAGAAAATGCTCAGATAAAGCCTATACATGACAAGTTCTTATTTGCTCAGAATGGTATAACAGGTCTAATTGCACCACCTGGGTCGGGTAAGACTTTCACTTATCTTAAAATGGCTGCACAACAACAAGAACTAGATGAGAAGAACCCATTCTATGAGTTAGTTGTTATTTGTTCGACTTCTGGTCAATTTGACCAAACCGTCAATTCGTTCAAAGATATTATAAAGAAGTCTAAGTTAGTATGTATAAAGGATACTGAGTTGTTAGATTGGATAAAGAAGTACCAAAGAAGAGTTTTGAAGTATAATGCTATAAATGAGTATATAAATTCGAAGTTTAAAGACCCAAATGAGGAAATGCAGAGAATATTAGAGAAGAAACACTTCAGAAACAAACAGAAAGAGATAGAATACATTTCGAAGAAATTGCAATCTTACGATTGGAAAACGTACCCTCATAGATGTCTTCTTATCTTAGATGACTTTGCTTCTCATCCTTTGTTAAAGAACAGAGAACAAGATATGTGTCGAATTCTTAAGAAGCTCAGACACTTTAACATCTCAGTCGTAATATGTGTACAGACAGCAAAGAGTTTAAGTAAGGATGTTAAAAGAATACTTACTGACATTATACTTTTCCCCGGATTGTCCGAAGACGATTTCATGGAACTTATGAAAGAGTCCATGGCAGGTAAGTTTGACAGACATGAACTATGGGAGAAGTACAAAGTCATACAAGACCCTCATACTTCTTTCAGAATTCATATCTACGCAAACAAAGTTCAAATTGTAAAAAGTCAAGCTTGAAAAATAAATGGTTCATTTACTCTGCTTGTTTGAAGTTGTCAAAATACTCTGTTATTTTTCACGATTTTCATAGAGTTTTAGGCTAGACCGATAAAATCCGGTCTAGAGAAATTTCACGATTTTCATACGGAATCTCTTCTCTCGGTTCTCCGAGGGAAGCAAGCATATGAGGAAATTCATGAAATTTCATACGGAATTCAGCAAAAATAATGTTTATGTTAGAATGTTAGATCTAACATGTTTTCTAACATGTTTTCTAACATGGTCTAAAACATACAAAATTCATGAAATTTCATACGGAATTCAATAAAAATAATGTTTATGTTAGAATGTTAGATCTAACATGTTTTCTAACATGTTTTCTAACATAACTATTTACAAGCGTTTTACATGGTATATGTTGCGATGGTTCATGACTCTAAACAATTTCGTAGCTTCTATTTCTTCTGTCAGTATGTCAAAAGTTTTAACGATACCGAAAGTTTCTTTATACTTCTTCTTGACGTCAGATAGAAGGAAATCGTCAGCAGTTGGATAGTTTTTGTTCAGAAATTCTAACATGTTCATTTTATCTTCTGCTGGTTTTTCTGCTTCTTTCTTTAAATCTGCATAGTCGTTTCGCATACGTTCTATCTCTTTGACGGAGTAGTTATATTTCCTCATTGCTGCTTTACATTTTGAACATTGCGGGTTCATTTTTGCGTTATATTCTGAAACCTTACCTGCTAAAACAACCAAGGCGTCAATGGTTTTCTTCATCTCGAACATAGCGGGTCTTATTTGTTCGTTCCATACCTTACCCCTACTATCTTTATCTCTTATTTCCCAAACACATTTTGCAACTAATGAAACAAAGTTGTCGTAGGTCTTAAATTCTTCGGATTTGTAAAGGTCAGAGATGTTCTTATATACCATGTCGCAATCTTTGTCCATAACCTTATGGTTGCAATGAAAACCAAGGAATTCATAATTTACCTTTCGTATGAACTTCTTTATTTCTACTGAGTCAGTTGCTTTGACTTCTATTTCGTCAAATTCGGGAATGGTTAGTTTTTGTTGTTGGATTTCAGGCAATTTGGGTAAATGGTCAATAATGTCCTGCATTTCATAAAGATACTGTTCATTTGTTTCATCTTTCGCACTACAGTCTAAATTACTTGTTAAAAGTTCTTGCTTTATCTTCTGGATTTTTGTTTCGAAAGTATATGAAGAAGGAATGAAGTTTTTCATCTCTACTAACATAGATGTTGGATTCATAACTAGCGAGTTTGGTGCTGTAGTTGTTTGAATTGTTGTTGTGCCGATTGTTGAAATCATGTCTTTTATACAAAATAAAAAAAATAAATAAAATAAAAAATAAAACTAATTTTATTTTTTATTTCGGGAAAATTCATGAAAATTCAAGAGTTTTAGACCATGTTAGAAAACGTGTTAGAAAACATGTTAGATCTAACATTCTAACATAAATTATATTTTTGGTGTAAATTTCATGAAAATTCAAGAGTTTTAGACCATGTTAGAAAACGTGTTAGAAAACATGTTAGATCTAACATTCTAACATAAACATTATTTTTGCTGAATTCAGCAACAAAATTCAAATTGTAAAAAGTCAAGCTTGAAAAATGTAAGTGTTTAGTCTTAGTAAGATGGTAGCTTCTTAAAGCAAATACCATTGCTGAGTTTTATGTACGTGAAGAGAAGTACAATGAATTCAATTACGAGTACAATTGCAATGACAACTAAGGCAACTATTTTTGTCTTTTGCCAGCAAGGGTACTTCTTCTCTTCCAATGGTTCGGCAGAACTATACTCACTCATGAGAAATGCCAAAACGGTTTAATAGAAAAAGTGTTATTTTTTCATGTCCGAAGACTCGAAGGTGCAACACTTCCAAAATACCGACGAACTCAGAAGAGCAGCATGGCAGTATGTTCTTGACAACTTCTTTGAGTTCTCCAGGCACACCTTGGAAAATGCTGAAGAACTCCGACACAGAGAATTTGGAGAAATTGCACTCCAATACTACATTGACAAACAAAGGGTAAACAAAGGGTAAACAAAGGGTAAAATAAGACTAAAAACTTAAGGTTTAAAAAAGTGACATTTTTATGAGCTCCGAGTCACCGAGAAAACTTGGTCAGATGTTAGCAGCTTACTTCCCTGAGGAGGATGGAAGCGTTACATACGTAAGGTTCAAAAACAACGAACCTGGAATTGCGTACCAAATTCGCAATTACATGACCATGGAAGAGTACGAAAGGTTCCTACAAGAGAAACCAGCTCTAAACAACTCAGAAAAGAAAGAATAAAAAGTTTAACTCGTAATTGTTTATTTTTTTACTTGTATGGGCAAGCTGCAAGAATGAAGTCGACTATCTCAGTCTTTGTCTTGACCAGTTGGACTGCTCTTGCGAGTACGTCTGTTTTGCGGTCTCCAGCTGGTGTCTGACCTTCGTAATTGCGCATGTTCTTGAGAGCTCCAGTTGTAAATGATTGTAGGATGAAGAGTCTCTCAGACTGCTTGAGGTAGTCTTCACGGTCACGAACCGAATCTGTGGTACGAGTCGAATCGGTCGATTTGAGGGAAGAGACTGAAAGCCTGTCGTCTTCCATAGGGGCTGTGGCATAATCTTTGCGTAAGCGGTTCAGACCTTCTTCGAACTCTTGGTCTCTCTTGGACTGAGATTGGAATTGCTGGGGTGGAGCTTGCTGGAACATCCAAGGGTTGGGGAAGTAAGGCATAGGCTGAGGAGGGTAGTTCGGGAAGCCTTGTAGTGGAAATTGGTAGTAACCTTGAGGTGGAAATTGGTAGTAATTTGGTGGAGGGACTTGCTGGAACTGAGGTGCAGGGGCTGGTGCTTTAGGTTCCTCTGGTTTGGGAATGGACTCGGTTGGTGGGACGTCGGACATTCGTCTGTGGCTTAACCGTCGGACCACAACGATAAAAATCTCTGCTCCTAGCAGTACTGCTACTGACAGTAGCAGTACTTTTACTGACAGTAGCAGTACTTTTTCTGACAGTAGCAGTACTTTTTCTGACAGTAGCAGTACTTTTACTGACAGTAGCAGTACTTTATCGTCGAAAACCCTCTCAAATTTTCCTTTTTACTGCTCCTAGCAGTACTTTTACTGCTCCTAGCAGTACTGCTACTGACAGTAGCAGTACTTTTTCTGACAGTAGCAGTACTTTTTCTGACAGTAGCAGTACTTTTACTGACAGTAGCAGTACTTTTACTGACAGTAGCAGTACTTTTTCTGACAGTAGCAATGGTCGAGGTCGAACCGACCGACGAGGCAATTTACCTAATTGAAATTAACGAGCTTGTTAAAGACTTCCTCAGGCAGAATGTAAAAGGCAAGCTTGTTAACTGTTGGATAACGGGAAGGGCTGCCTTGAATCTCGAGACTTCGACTGGAATTCCAATTCAAATACCAGACGGGACAGCCTACGACGACATAAAGCAAGCAAAGAAAGAAGCTCTTCTCAAGTTCTTTGCCAAGCGTCCTTGGATACTACTTCCAAACAGAGAGAACCCTTTCCCAAGAATGAGCCAAATTCTCAAGGGTCTCCTTCACTTCTCGGGTCAGCCGTTCTACATAACCTGTGAAGGCGACATCCAACCAGTTCAGTAAACATCTCATTTTCACTTCACTTTTTTTATGTTTTTACTCACACTCGTACTCAACAGGTTTGTGTACAACTATTTCAACTGTGAACCTTGTATTGACCGGTCTTCCTGTAAATGCAAGTTTGGTCAATACACAGTTTATGGTGGCAAGAAGGACAGTGGGGAATGTTATTCTGACATCTGTTGTTGCGCTCGAGAGAGATTTGAAATTTCAGAGCCACCTCCCCCAAGAACTCCAACACCAACACTCAAGTTACCAGAGTCTCATGTGAAGAAGAAGCCTTCTGGTAAGTTTCTTATAGCCATATACATGGCACGCTTTGAGTAAAAACATTTTTTCATTTTTTGAATGAAGCAAGTTAAATTCGTCCCACACCAAACTCAATGGACCGATGAAGAGTTTCAAGCCATGCTTGAAGACGTTGAGAACGACATAGACGGCGAACTTGAAGGAGCTCAAACCACAATTGCAACCAAAATTGCACAAGTCAAGGAACAGATAGCTCCACTTAAAGCTACCAAAGCTACTCTTGACCTCATGGATACTTACCGTTTAGAAGTAAAGAGTGGAATAAGACAATTAAAATTAAAACTTCTAAACTACGAAGCTATACTCCAAAAGTTAGCAGAAATGAGAAGACTTTACCAGAGCTACTTACATGTAAGGGACTTACCTTCAAGCAGTCCGACCAAAGATGAATTTTCTGACATTGTCCCAATTTTGTCCGAAAGTCAGCTCAGATGTTTCGAACTGCTCCCAACATATCCAGAATATGAACGTTTGCCTGAACTCTTCCGCAATCTCAAAAAACGTTTTTTGGTTCTCATGTTCGAAACTTTTATCGGAAGAGACAACAAACGTTCAGAAGAAGAACAAGATATTATTTTAAACTTGTTGTATGACTTAACCGTCATAACAAGCTTTTTGAAGTAAAACCGTCATTCTCAAACCACTTCATTTTTTCGATGTCCGAACAAGCACCGAAGCCGAACACAATAGCAGATGTCCTTTCAAGGTTGCCAGACAAGCGCCCAGTTCAAATTCAAATTATGCATTTGAAAGCTCATCTGACAAACACCGTTAAGACTCTCCAAAGTAGTCTTATGGAAGAGATGAAGGGACTTAAAGGTGAGTTCCTCATGAACCAAGCTTCCAATGAGAAATGCCTGAATGATTTGACGGAAACCTTGCGCATTTACGCGAGAGAGAACCGAGACCTTGCCAGACTCATCTACCGTTTCTTCGAAGAGATAGACGCCATCTGGAAGGTACTCGGAAAGGACAGAACATGCAACACCGTAATTCGTGAACACAGAATTGAAGAAGGAATTGTCGAGGAAGAAGAGAAACACGAAGAAGAGAAACACGAAGAAGAGGAAGAAGAGAAACACGAAGAAGAGGAAGTTTGGGCAACCCTTGTTGCCGATGACACTTACGAAATTTCCCAACCCTTACCCATTACCAAATCCGCAACAGGGAGACCGGCAAGGTTCTTACCCCAGTCCTCAACAACTTGGGACACTTGAACCTTAACCTTCGGAATCGCGGTTCAATTTCCATGGGCAAGCTTGTCGCAATTCAATGGGTTCCAAATCCAGGCAAGAAGACGAAGGTCAGACACATTGACGGTGACAAGCTCAACAACCGTAAGGAGAACCTCGAGTGGTTCTAAGAGTAAAAAAATTTTATTTTAGGGGGAAACCCCAAGTAAATTTAGGTGTTTATTTGGATAAGTATGTGAAATTAAGGTCAATTTGCAAAATTAGTTCCCGACCTTTGAATTGGACTCTTTCGTCATCCCAGTTGCGTAGGAGGTCGTCCCAGAGGAGTTGGTAGATTTGCCAATCCAAGGACGATTTGTCCTCCCAGGCATTGAGGATGTACTGCTCGTAGAGTCTCATGACCTCTCCCTTGCACCAGACACCCTCTTCCTTGGAACGTAAGGCTTCTTCGAAGTGCTCGAATGCGATTGGCTGCTTGACCATCCGAAATGACACTTTTTGTACGTTTGGTCAATGTTCGTGTCTCGTGCCATAGTCGACGAAAATACAGACAAACAGGTTATATATGAGTTTGAGACCAAGAATGGTGTAACTCGACCTGTCCGATTCAAAGACTCCGAGGGCGACCATGAAATTAAACGGAAATTACCTAGGAAGGAATATAAAATGGACTGGTTGCCACCACCTCCACCTCCACCACCTTTACCTGTTCCTCAAGTAAATAAGCCTTTCCCGTTCCCAAGAATTCCCACATTTTAATTCAAATTCGAATAAAAATTTTTTATTTCATGCAATGTTTTATTTCTGTGCCGTCTTCAAGTATGCCCCAGTACTTACGCTTGGAGAGGACATGAACTTCGGTGAAAATTTTGTCCAATTTGAATTGACCCATCTTCTCACCGACCATACCCATTTCAATGAGTTTGTTGTATCCTTCTTCGTTCGTCATGAGTGCGTCAATGTTCTCATAGTAAACCTTCACTTTGGATTTGACTTCCGAGAAGAATTTGTTGTAGTTGTCAAGGACTGCTTTTGCGAACTGAGGGTAAGACCAATGTTCGACAATAGGTTTTAATGTGGTTACTAAGCCACTTTGACCTTGAGTGAATTCGTACTTCAAAACAAAAGGAGAAAACCTTTCAACAAAGTTGTCGACCTTCTCATAATGTTTACTCTTCATCTCTTGAGGTTTTTTAATGGAATATCCCCATGTCGAATTCATAAGCAATTTGAGTGTCATTGCAAGTTTGGGGTTTGAAGCTTTCCTAATATCATACAGTTGTTGTATGACTTTTCCAACTGTATAGTTCCTTCCCGGGAACTCACCATCTTCGTTTGGAATTCCAGTCGGAATATATTGGACAAACCTCATGTACGCAGCGTTAAGGTCGACATAGTATATCTTTTCGTTTGAGTCGAACTTGTCGCAACCAATTGGTCCAGTTTGTGGAAATTCAAGTGAGTCTCTTATCTTCTGAGAAACTTCTCCTGTTATCTCATAAACATCGTCGAAGCAACCTGTTTCATATAAAACCTTCTGACCTAACTCAGATGCTCTCAATACATTTCCGACGAATTTGAGTCAATTGATTCTCAATGGGAAGTTTATTATAGCATCTTGAAGTTCTTGCAACCTCATTGGAAGTTCTTCTGGTTCAGGTTGGTATCCGAACAATCCAACTCCTTGTGGAATTGTGTACTTCTTTTGTACTAGAACTTTGTCTGGAACAACTTTTGGTCTTGCTAACAGTGAAAAGTTTGTTTCGTCTTTTGGTACAAAAGTTTCTGTAAGCTTGTCATCTGGAATTGGTTCCAACAAACCTTTCTCGAAAAGAATGTTTACAGCTCTGACAATGTTGCACTTGCCTTTCCGAACAATGGGTTTTGTAAGACTTTCGTTCAACATGAAGTGGTTGTGGACAATTACAATCTTCAACCATGGTAAGTCTTTGTCAACAACATAGTCGTCATGTGAAGACCTTTAGCTGTAGGTATGTTGACTCGGATATTGACATTTGCCAACGGTGCAATTTTGCCAATTGACCTCTGAGCATGTACCTCGTCTTCACACATGACTCAAGATACTTCATCTTCTCATCTGTAACAAGACCAGAGTTCCTGAGACATGTAAGAATACAAGGTTCATTGACAATTGTTTCAATTGAATTGTAAATTCCATACCTTGTCAAGTCAATGTCAGACTTATTTATGAAGGGGAAGTATCCAGCATGTTGTCTGACTGCTTGAGGGTTAGGTTCATGCCATTCGAACTTGACACTTGCAATTCCTTCAATTGCATTCAAAATGTCTGAGTCTGAGTCAACCATTTGTTCTCTCTTTGTAGTCTTGAAAGCGTCAAGAAGTTTTGCGGCTGTTTGTTCATTGCCATGTGCATAGTAAATGTGACCATCCAAATCTGTTATGGTCAATCTGAGATTGTGTCCTTTCTTATTTCCGTCTTGAATTGCAGCAAGTACTCCCATGAAGCCTTCTTTGTTCTTTCCTTCGTCAAAGTTTACTGTAAAGGTTCGACCAGATGTAATTTGACTTCTAACTTCACGATACTTCTCATATGCATATCTTGTTCTTTCCATGGGAGCATGACCATCCTCTGCACTACCTTTTTTCCTTCTCAAAGGATGCAATTGTTCGTCATGTTCCAGTAGAATCTGGCAAAGCCGTCGTGTCCTTCAACTTGAGGTTCACTAACATCGAAAGGCATGTCCATAAGACGTTCTTCTTCTAACCTTCTAGTCTGTTTGGATAATGGCACGTGCTGTTTCAAATCCATTTCGTAGCGAAGACCAGCCAGTTTGTCATAGACTTTTATGGGTCTTCCCTTCCTATATTTAAAATTCTTCGAAACTCTCCAACCATATCTTTGCAACTCTGCTTTTATTCTAGCAGACTTTCTATCCATTCTATATGGGGGCATTTTTATAAAAATAAAAAAATATTTTTTTTCTTTACTTTACATAACCACCTGCTGCCATAAGTCTTTGACGCCAACCCATACCAGCTAATGAAGGTTGACTTGGTTTAGTTTGGAAACTAAACTTTGGTTTTGGTTTATCTTCAGTTTTTGGTTTTTCTTCTTCTATCGGTTTTTCGTCACTTTTCGGTTCCTCTGACTTTACCCCACCTGCAGGAACAGTTGTGTCGTCAACATCTTCATAAATATCATATGCCATTTGTTTTTGTTTTCCTTTCAACTTTTTGTGTTTGTTGTAAAGTTTAGAATATTTCGACTCTAAGTCAATGAGATGTTCTATAATGAACTGTTGGTCAGTGAAGTAAACTTTTCCATCTGTTGTCTCGAAAGCTCCTTCAGACTTCAATATTTTATTTGTGAGAGTCTGTTTCTTTTTTGAGATACTAGCCGTTCCATTTCTATGAAAAGTGACTTTGTAGTTAGGGTTTGTATTTCCAGACCTGGCACTTTCTATTATTGAATTTTTCTCTTCATCTGTAAGTTCTTTGACAGGTTTTGACAATGGTTCTGAACTTTTTGTTTGTGGTGTCAAATCTACCGTTTCAACTTCTTCGGTCATTTCATCTCAGTAAAAAATTTTAGTTTGGTTTGTTTTCAACTGGTTGTTTAGGTTTTTTAAGTCGGTCTAAAACTTCCTGAGGTATAGGAAGAACTTGACAAACACGTGGTGTAACTGCTGGAAGTCGACAAATCCATCTTGAACCCATTTGTCTCAATGCTGTATTGTTCATTTCATCTCGGTAAAAAATTTTACATTCCCCACGTTTGAGGCGGTTGAGGTTGGTTATTGTTTACCCACTGTTGTGCATGGTTATATCCTCTGTTAAAGAATCTTTCACCTTGGTCCATATAGTGTCCTGCTTGGTTATAGTAGTCATTTGCTTTGTTATAATAGTTTCCTGCTTGTCTTCCTACATTGTCCATCCATCCTTGAACTTTTCCTCTTGTTTCAGGATTTGGAATAAGATTTGCTGCATCTCGTGCTACATCCCAACCTTTCTGTACAGTTTGTATAATAGGTTGTGCTTTCTCTTTCAGTATACCTAATGTACTCAAAATCTTCCTTCCAATTCCAAATGCACCTCTGGCTATTGTTCCCACTGCGGGTAAAAATCTGGATGCAACTCCTGCTAATGCGCCAAATAAACCCATTTCTTATAGGGTAAAAAATGACGAATCCGAACAAGGACCCCTATGTTTCTAAAGCGACAAAAAAAGCACTCATGATAAAAATCTTTAGTTCAACACCAAATGCTTGGTTTATGGATATCTTGGAAAACATTCCGAGGTATAGAGAAGATGGACCACCATACTGGCTAATATTTATCGGTCAAAACACAAGATACTGTGAAGCCATACCATTACAGTCCAAAAATATTTTAGATATCTTAGCAGCTTTGACAATATTCGTTGACAAATACCATCCAACAAAACTGACATCTGACTGTGAAAGTTCTTTCAAATCAGATGATGTAAAAAACTATCTGCGTTCAAAAAATGTAAACCAATATTTCATTGTCGACCAAAACCATTCTGCTCTTGGTGTCATTGACGGTTGTATAAAAATGTTAAGAGACTTAAACCAACCACAAGGTGGTGAAGCAAATGAAATGTCATATGACGACAAATATAGACACTTCTCCATGGCAAAGATGAGACAAGTTTTAAATATTTACAATAGCCGTAAACAAAAAGGTTTGGGAAACCACTCCCCCGAAGAAATGAAAAACAACCCTGACTTAGAGAAAGACTATATATTTAACAATTTAGTCAAAAGAGACAAACAAGAAAGAATGCCGGGCTTCAAACTTCAGAAAGGTGACAAAGTAAAAATAGAAATACCTAAACGCGACCCATATGAAAATACTATTGACTATGACAACAATGGGAACTCGACAGGTACTCGCATTCGTGTTCGTAAAAATAGAAGAAAGTATACAAGAGAATATTATGAAGTTTTAGGCAAACATGGCAAAATGTACAGACTGCA